GTCACCTGATCTTTGCCCTACATAAAAGGTTCAATGCTCTCTTTTTAGGAACAATATGCCACTAATAAAAAAGAAATGGAGAGTTGTTAATTCAAGTCAACTATATACTAACAACTCAGCTAAGAGGAGACCATCAAAACTTGATAGCAAACGACAAAATTAGAGTTACCCCCAATATACTAATAGACTATCAAATTAAGGTTAAAATACACCCGCTACCACTTAAGTTTTCTATTTGGTGAAGCTTTTTTTTCCCAAAAGATCACTCGTATTACCGAGAAAGCCAGATATAAAAAGTCACACGGCTGAAAACAGCCAAGAAACAAAATTGAACCCTCCTAAATGAGAGAACAACGAAAGGGCTTTTCTTGCCACCAAATGGGCAACCCTGTTACAATCCCTACCAACAAACCAAATATCAAACACCGAAAAACGAGCCCGTCAAACTTCTAATTTCTTCCAATACCGTGCCACCCTGAACATCATCAACTTGACATTCTCGAATCCTTCTAATCACCACCTGGGCATCACCAGCAAAGATGACAGAATGAAGACCTCGTGCCAAACACCAACGAATTGCATCCCGAAAAGCTAGCAGCTCCACCAGGGAGGGCTCAAAAATCCCCACATACAAGGCCGCTGAAGCCGCCACCACCGCGCCCGACGGATCCTGCAAAACCCAACCTCCAGCCCCGTGTGAACCACGCAGAGTGGATCCATCAACAAACAACACTAGCTCCCCAGGCGGGACCGGCTCTCTAACCGCTAGGCGAGGACCCCCAGGACCTGGAAGAGGTGGCCTTTGTTGATTATCAGGAACAGAATCCCACTCGGTGACCTGCGAGCGAAACTGAGAAAGCAAAACAGGGACAATGAACTGTGTGAAATCAAACACAACCCAATTTCGCGCATGCCAAACACGCCAAAATAGAGCCACCATCCTCATCAGCGTGCTCCGGTCCAGATTCCCTTCCTCTAGAACCCTGCGCCAAAAGATGCTTATATTGTTAAGTGGAAACCGATCTCTAAGCAGGTGAAGCTCGGCTCCCTCCCAGAGCTGTAACGCTACACGACATCGGAAGAAGAGATGCTCAAGAAACTCTACCTCCTCCCCACAGACTGGACATGACTCCAGCCCCCACCCCGCGAGTACTCAGTGCCTCACCAATTGGCAAGACACCCCGGACAAGCTGCCAAATAAAATACCTTTCTATTTGGTGAAGTTGTACCACTTAATTCTAATTAGTGCATTGGATACCACTTAAATACAATTTAAGTGTATCCATCCAAATTTTCCTCCTATCACTAACGGTAGAAATTAATTACTGATTATTTTCCAAATCCACATAGCCACGTAAGCTGAAATTGCTGAGTCAATTTCATTTTTTTACACACAAGCCTAGAACTTCACTCTCTCTAAACCTAACGGCATTGAAATCATCAATTAAGAGAGAGAAACTCCTTTCCGTTAATTCTGCACCGCTTTCTGATTTGTGGCGGTATCCTGAATTCCCTCGCCGGTCAATAACAGAGGAGATATGACACGCCACTGCCTCCGCCACCGACGGTGCTGAACTTCACCTTTCCGCCAAACCTCCACAATATCACTGGCTTGAAGGTAGAGGTGGCAATTAGAATCCAAATCCATGAATCCAATCCAATCCATCCACCAAATTATCCACTTAATTCAATCCATTTAAATCCAATCCATTTGATCCAAATCCAATTGGATTGGTGGATTCATGGATCAATCCATGGATCCAAATGGCAAATTACTATTTGGTACCTATATTTTTTATATTTTACATTTTGGTACCTAAAAATTATATTTTTATACAAAAAATATCATTGGAAAATTACATTTTGGTACCTAAAATTTTTCATTATGACATTTTAGTACCAAAACTTTTCAAATTTTACATTTTAGTCCAAGCCTTTGATGTCATTTGGATTCATGGATCAATCCACCAATCCATTGGATCCAATCCATGAATCCACCAATCCATTGGATCCAATCCATTTGATCCATGGATCCACCAATCCAATCCACGAATCCACGAATCCGATCCAATTGCCACCTCTACTTGAAGGTACTGAATGAAGGACTCAATTGAGGAGCCTAAGGAAACCTGATGTGAATCGCTTATCTCACAAAAGGGCTTCTTGATTACAATAATACATGGAATTCCTTATTTTACCTATTAAATTAATAAGGTACAAAATTAGACATTTCTTATTTATCAGTTTCACTAAGTTAAATAAAGAATCTGCCTACTTTAGTAAATCAATTAATGATTCCTCGTTTTAACATAGAAATAGGTTGTGATAGTTTCAAAAACCATAAACCTAAAGATCCAATAACCACTACTCTCCGTTGTACAACCAAATTTTATCCACTCTATATTCAATCTCAAGAGGTATATGTTTCAACAAAAAATTCAATTTCTAACCTTCCTTCTACAACTTCATTTATTGAACTCCATTCTATTCACCATGGATTGATATCATAGTTGAAATTTAAATTGAAAATTGTAAGGACACAATACGTAGTAACATAATAAGTTTATTCCATTTTAGCCAATTACCAATTTACATTTAGCAAAAATAAAAGAGAGAGCATGAATTTTAAAACTGAGAACATTACATGAAACTCAAGTATGAAAATTGAAGTATCAGATCCCATAAAACACATACGGTAGACTTAGTGGGATTGATGATTATGATGAAAAAGTCCTCGGATTTTCAGAGTTTTTAACTTCATGTATATTTTGTATTAAAAAGGATACAACAAATTTGTTTAGTGTAATTGATTGTGATTGTTGTTTTTTTTGGAAAGATTTGGGTTCAAACTTTGATATTGAGATTTTTTTATATGAAATAAATAAATAATTGTATACAAAATTATACCTGGAGGATGGATTCATCGCATACATTTGAGAGAGATAATAGGCAAAAATAATTGATTATGCCACATTGCTGAATTCGGGACAAACGGATATTCTAGGATCTGCAGACATACATACGCAGCACGCCATCGCTGCTCATCTTGTTTCCGATTTTTCCCCATTAATTAATTAAAGATTAAAGAAAGTGTAAAGAAAGACTAACGACCATCATAACCTTTGTGGGTAAGACGAGCTTATCCTGTTCCATGGCCGAATCGGATAGGAAAAGGATGGAGCACGACACGTGGAGGATGACAGTTGGCTAAAGAAAAACTAACTAGCTCACTGGCTAAACAAGACAGGTGAATGCAATATCCGCCAACAGCCCAATCAATAATCTCTTAATAATAATGATGAGAGATAATAATATTTTAATATTTCATCCAGAGCGTTTACCATCTGCAAGCCAACAGGTCATACCTCCACCACGTGTCCCAGCGCTTCATTCAATTCATGGCTTATCTCCGTCGCCGTTGGTCTAAGCAAAAACAAAGGCCGACCGATGGAGAAAGCAACGTTGGAATTATTGGGTATTTCATTACTGATATCTATACCACGTGAAAAATGGACGTTAGGTTAGGTTGGTTTAAAGAAGAAGAAAAGAAATCGTAATGTTGATGGAGAGTGGATGTACGTAGCAGCAGGTAGATGTCTAGGTAACACTGCATTTGCAGTTGAGTTGGAAGCATGAGGTTTGTTTTTATACAAGGATGGCATAGATTTCATTTTTTTTTTATTAATTAGGTACTACGTAAGAGACAATTAATGTAATTAAGCAGTTTATAATGTGTATTTTGTAACCAGCTGTTTTGGACACGGTTTCGAAGGAGCTTGATCAAAGCTAGAGCCTAATAAAAGAACAACATTTATCGAAAAATAAAATAAAGAAACGGGGTCAGTGATCACATAATTGTTGTTATTCGAGAGATCATTTAAGGACATATAAGAAGAAAACAAACCAAAGATACATGACTAGTTAGGGTTGATCAACACATCCAATCCAAACAACAAAAAGGATTAGTTCGGAAGCAAACAAAGAAGAAGAAATCTCCATGGAGAAATGCATGTTGGTTTCTCCAAAATCCAGTTCTCCAAGCTTGATTTGTTGGAATCAACATGGGAAGGAAGAACAATTTCGAGAAGTAATGATTGAGATTTGATGCGGAAAAAAATTTACGAGCATTGACAGTGTGGGAATGATACTCGGCTTTTGTGGAGGAGTAAGAAACGACTCATTCATTATTTGGAACTAAACCAAGAGATAAGATTGCCACCATAACAAACCGTGTAGCCAGTGCATAGATTAGCGGCCATCAATGAGATTGCTACTTCAATTAACATCGATGAATCAGGTGAGTGAATGAATGAGTGGTGAAGCAGGAAAATCAAATATCATGAGAAGAAATCCTGTGAAGATATCGCAAAACCTTTTTAAGATTGGCCTAATGAGCAAGGAGTGGAGTGTGCATTGCATATATATTGTGTCACAGCCACCACACAAAAAGATGAAAACCATCAGAACCACAATGATTTTAATGCCTGAGAAATAAGAAATAAAATGAAGAGTCTTGTTTTTATTTTTTTTAAATAATAAGTTGCATTTCATTCATAATCGATGTTGGTACAAGCTGAGCTTATTACAGAAGAGGTGAGATTAAATCAAGAATATAGATTCATTGAGTAGGAAGAGTTCCTCTCTCTGATTCTCTGGCCACCCAATCTGCGCTTTTGTTGTTGCTTCTTTGGAGTAAAGCAAACCTTGATTCCATTATTTGAGGATAGGATATGTGCGCATACAATAAAGCCAAGCAATAGTCTCGTTGAAGAAGCAGTCCACGCAGCTCGTTAAACTCGAGTACATAGTTCGCGTGATGGGTCCAGCAAATTGGTAAATAATAAAAACACAGAGGCCCATACAATTAGCTGGGCTAGAGAAACTCAACCCATGGATAAAGCCCAAGATTAGCCTGTAGCCTGCAGCCCGAGAAGATGCTAGGGTTTGCCTCCCTCCCTATAAAAACCTCAAAATAGGCACAGCACAAAACAACCAACTATATCCTTTCTTCCTCCTTTGGCAAGTTGGATTTAGGGTTCTAGCCTTCTTTCCTATTTAGGATTAAAAAATCCTCTCAATTATTGGGTTTAGCGTTGTCTTCCTCTATCCCCTCTGTTTGGGTTTCATCCGCTTCAACTATTTTGGTTTTTCGTCTTTGTGCTGTGTGTTTTAATGGTTTTGGAATCGTGGTGGAGGTCGAACGAACGATGATGAGTCAATACAGACCTGTAATGACTATGCGGGCATGATCGCAGTTCTTTTGAACATCTAAGGGACTGAGTTCTTCGCTTCCTACCTTGATTCCAATGCAGTTTATTTTTTACTACGATTCTGTTTTTTTCTTCTTCTTCTTCTGAAATGGGCTTCTGTTTGCTAGTTTTGAACGTGGACTAGAACGATCATATGAATCGTCCACTCTGAGAAGAGGCCTCAGAAAGAAGGTTCCCCTCGCTATCCATTGCTACCGATTCAATGTGGCATCAGGACGTCGGGGAACTACAATTTTTTTTCCTTTTTCAATTCAAATGTTATAATTCGACCTGGGTTATGTGTATCTTTCTCAGAAATGTAAGCATCGAAGTCCAATGATATCACTTTTTTCAATGTGCTCCTCTCTTTTACTTTTCAGAGTTCTTGTCAGTTGTAAGCCTCGTCCGGCAAAATGTGGCTCTGATTAAGAGTAAAAGGGAGGGAGGAAGTCAGATCTGAACAACATCGTGAGGAAAACATCCTCAACTGGCATCGCGAAGCATTATGCTAGAGGATGAACACAATCACAAGTGAAGTAGACGTGATTGTATGGTTGACTGTTAGATTAGCTATCTTATAGCGAGAAGGGTTTTACAGTATACATTTTCACAATACCATTCAATGGAAAGAACAGCCTTTTAGATGTTCAATTACAAAATTTATCAATAAAGAATACATTGCAGAACAGCGCCGTGTAATTTCTTATGCCTCTGGACTCTGGTTATCAGTTATTTGTAATATCTCACTTGACATATGGTCTTGGCTCGAAAAAATAACAAATTAATTAGAGCTCATTTGGGGTCAGGAAATGGCCACGACAGTCAGCCGAATCAAACCGATATCCGCTTGCTTTACTTTGATTCCATCACGGCTTCCATTTCTCGTCTCCCCTCTGCTTGTGTTTCTTCCTGCAGCACTCCAAGATGGCATCCACCGTATCCATGACTACTAGAACACAATGTTCCATTCCCTCGCTCCTCCCTTCTCCCAGCAAGCCCAGGACCCCAGCTTCTCAAAGTTTCTCCAGTTCCTCTCACTCCCAATTCCATGGGCTCAATTTCTCAAAGCCCGCCTCCGCTAGTGCTGCTCCTGTTCCTTCTTCTTTCAAGACTTCCATTGTTGCCAAGGTACACCTGCATTCTTGCAACTAATCAGCTCCCTTCTACTGAAAAGGGATTTGCTGGTCTGACATTTGCGCCTTGTGGGTTTTGATTTCCGAGGGCAGGTGAACAAAGGGCAGGTTCCGCCCAACTTCACATTGAAAGATCAGGATGGCAAGGCTGTGAGCCTCGCCAAGTACAAGGGCAAGCCTGTTGTTGTCTATTTCTACCCTGCCGATGAAAGCCCTAGTTGTACCAAACAGGTACCCCTTTCCCTTTTCCTTTCTCCTTATTCTTTTCCAACCTTGAGATATAAGGCATAGAAGCAATTGGAGGTCAAGTAGCTCTAGCTTACGCAGTGATGCTGATTCTTGAACACAATGTCACTTATAGAAATACTACTTTTGTCCCTCTTCATTGCTTGAAGAGGCCATCTGATTGGTTAATGAATACTGATGGAGGGGCAACGACCACACTTACCTTGAACAATTTAATTTATGGTTTTAGTAAACTTTAAAGAAAAATCAAAAGAAACAGTGATAATGATGGTATTGGAAGCAGTTTATGGAAGGGAATGACACAAGATTAATGTTTTGAGTCTCTCCAATCACTTGAATTATTGTGATAGATAAGCTTTTGTTTTCACATGGTAAGAGGTCTTGTTTCCTCCTCGTGATCTCCCAATAGAATAGTTGATTCAAACACAAGCTACGAGCTTGTGCAAATTTCAAACTCATAAGCAAGTTCTTTGGTATAAGATTCATACTTCGCCTCCTCGGTGCAACCGACTTATTGGGAAGAATTAGTTATTGGCAGTTCAGTCTCGTCAAGATCCTTTGTTTTTCCCCTTCTCGGATGTAGTTGATTTTCCAGAGTCTTTGTTTTTTGCAGGCGTGTGCTTTCAGGGACTCTTATGAGAAGTTTAAGAAAGCAGGAGCTGAGGTCATTGGGATTAGTGGCGATGATTCATCTTCACACAAGGTATCAACTCTCACTTAATTTTGATTTCCCTTTTCCTGAAAAGCAACTGCTGCTGTAATTCTCTTGGCTGTGACTTGTGAGCCTAGGTGAATGATGAATTCATGATTGTTCGTGTACTTTGCCTTTATCGTGGAATCAGTCCGCCCAGTGACTTCAGAAAGGGCATGAAATTAGGCTCATCACCAGGAGCTTGTCTTTTGTTATTCATAGCTTTGGGCACCTTTGTTTAAACTTTTCAGACTTTGATAAACTTCTGCAGATAGTTTGGCATTACAATTCATGAACTGCAGTCAGTACACATTATGTAGCGACGCCTGAGGTGTTTCTCTTTGCTTCGTTCTTCTCTTGGCTCTTAACGTTCGTTTTTTTCCTTTTCTGCAGTCATTTGCTAAGAAGTATAGGCTCCCCTTTACGTTGCTGAGCGATGAGGGTAACAAAGTAAGGAAAGAATGGGGGATCCCTTCCGATCTTTTTGGAGCACTACCGGGGAGACAGACATATGTTCTTGACAAGCAGGGAGTGGTGCAGCTGATCTACAACAACCAGTTCCAACCAGAGAAGCACATTGATGAAACCCTCAAACTACTTCAGAGCCTCTAACTCTACTCTCTCCGCCCACTTCTCTCAGTTTTCTCCCCACACCTAAAAAATTGCTCTCATTTTTGTAAGCATGTACCCCTACTTCTGGCTACATTCAGTACTTGTAAAGCCAATCAGAGTTACAAGAGGTAATTGTTGCATATGTTCAAGGTTGATCCCTAATCATACATAAACATGGAGTTCATTGACGAACGATGACGAGTCAAACACATGTATTCTTCTAGGATAAATGGTGTAACAATCTTTTATGAAGTTGGATAATTTCTCGATTCATGTCATTGTGACCATGCATCGATAAATTGAATGCGGAAACGAAAGAAATTGTTTTAGCACTGTGTAATTCATTTCATTATGGATGTAGCCATCAAATATCGATCATCATTTACAAATTAGAACAGAGGTGTGAGATTAATAATGAATAAAAGAATGGGATTAAACGAATCAGCCTAACAATTTCGAGCCTAAATAAAAAAGCTCCCAATAATTGTTGGTGGGGAAAAGAAGAAATAATAAAAAGGCTAAGCCCAACTAAAGAAATGGGCTCAAATGTAGCGGCCCAACTGGACAATCAACACGCTAATGTCGTCGGAAGAGCCTCTCGAGGCGGCGAGCTCAGCAAGCTTTTTACAGGCCATCAATGGCGGCTGCTGCGATTCCATCAAAGCCTTTGCTACATCCACTGCTTCTTGATTGCTCACCTTATCCCACAACCCATCAGAGGCCAAGATCACGAACTCGATCTCCGGCTGGATCCTCAGAATCCGCGTCTCCGGCTCCGCAATCACCCATTGTTTCAGATGCCCGTCTCCGATTCCCCTTGACACCGCCAGCGACCCCTGAATTCGCCAAGTTCCGCCGACCAAATCGACGTACCCTCCCTGAAAAACATAATCATTTCAATTGAGTTCCCTTCCCCAGTTCTTCAATTTTAACCTAATGTCAATTTGATTTAGATGTTAGCTGCTTACCGTGGATTCGATTCGGTGCCTTTCGTCTTCCCTGGAGGGGCGGTGGTCGGAAGTGAGCGCCTCCGCGACGCCGCCTCTGCTGACGACCGCGCGGCAATCGCCAGCGTTGGAGACCACCAGGTTGCCTTTCCGGATCAGGGCGGTGACGCAGCAAGATCCGCCGCGGGCTTCCTGCTTCAGAAACTGCGAATCCGTTTCGAGATACCCTTGCTTAATCCCGTCCTCCGTTTCTTCTTCTTCTCCGGCGAGCCGTTTGAATATGTTCTTGTCCAGGTTCGCCGCCGCGAATTCCGCGGCCTTGGCCCCGTTGTGCCCGTCGAAAACACCGAAGAAAGCCTGCGGAAAACATCGATCCGATTAATAAAACCTAATTGGGTTGAATAGCTACGGAATTGTGAAATTGGGGGAGGCGTATTGAATTGGTACCTGTTTGGGATCTCCTTGAATTCCGACGAGGGCAGAGAAGCGATCCTCCATGGCTTCTCTCCTCCCTCTCTTGCAGAAAACGGAGTACCCATCCCCTTCCCTCTCCACCTCGGCCAGTTCGGCGGCGGCAGCCGGATTGGCCGGCGCCCCGAATCCCATCGCGGAAACGGGGATATCAAGCCTGGCCGGCCGTTTCCTCTTGGACACGGTAGGAGAAGAAGAGGAAGAAGGAATAGCCGGTGCCGATCCCACCGCCGCTGTCTTCTGGAGGCGTAACCGGAAAGAAGGGGAGTGCGGAGAGGAAGGAGAGCAAGAAGAAGGAGAAGGGGAGCGGCAGGCGGATTTGAAGTGGCTGGTCGGGGTCAAATTCGCCGGGGAATTGGGGATGTTGAAGGAGGTGGCCCGGTTGAGGAAGAGGGAGGACGGCGGGGAGAAGACGGGGGAGTTGGATACCGCAAGGGACATATTTGGCCGGAGTTCTGCTCTTTTTTTTTTGCCGATGATCGTTCGTTTGTTTGGTTTTTTCCTCCTTTTTGGTTGCTTTTCACAACGTTTGTTTTTTGTGTTTCTTGTCTGTTGGGGGATTTTGGGTTTACTTTATATAGAGTAGAGGGAAGGTGAGGAGGAGGGAAGGGTGGGAATTCCGTGTGCCGAAGGAAAAAGGGGAAACGCAATTTCATCCACCGTTTACTGCTTTTGACTAGGAGGGGACTGGAGAAGAAAGAAGAAGAGTTTTCTGATTTTTCCTTTGAAGAAGGCGGTCTCCGGTCGTCTCTACCTTTTCGGTTTACCCAGAGGCCAGAGCCAACCTGGGGAAGGAGAAATGACGGTATTGCCCTTTGGATTTTGGGACGTTGGGCTTGGATCCAAGATTTGGATTTTAGGGAGATTGCAAAATGAGGATTGGATTGGCCCGGCCGGCTTGGTCAGATTTGGTCTTCTTCTGACTCACTCCTGGTTCCCTTTTTGGGATGTTTCTGTTCTGACTTGTTTGTGGGTGTGGGAGCGTTTTTGGATTACCAAGCAAGACCCACGCCAGGTCATCGACGGTATATCCAATATTGCATGCACTCTTTTATGTTAAAATTGTAATTGGCAGGGCAGAACAAAATTAAAACAAAAATAATAGTAAGGGCAATGTCTATTTTTTACCCAAATTTTTTTCAGATTCTTTTATTTTAACCAAACCTATAGAAATTCTATTTATTATCCAAACGTATTATAGTTTATCAAAGTCTGGGCATTCATTCTGTTACTGTTACTTATTTCGTCCATGTGAGGAGTGAGATTTTGTTTTGTTTTTTGATAATCTTTTCATTAAAAATAGTAAATGATGGTATTCTGACCGCCACGTAGGAAGTCAACTCATTATGGTTATACTTAGTCATCATTACTAACAGAAAAGTTGACGGAGAGTTAACGTTTGGATAATTTTTAGGAATTCAATAGGTTTGGTTAAAATAAAAGAATCCGAAAAAGGTTTGGGTAAAAAATAGACATTGCCCTAATAGTAACGACCAAGGAATTATGGTCATTAGGGAGAAGGCAAATTCTGATCGGATCCGTTTGAGTTGATCTATTTTGGGTAGATATTATTCATTCTGTAATAGTGTGCGGTGATATATGAGTATTACTTTTGACCTACTCTGTCGTGTCGTGCTTAGTTCTTGATATGTTCTATCATAATTCTCATCAATATCTACTTGCATTTTTTTTACTTTTCTAAAATCATATTTTTGTTCCAGATAAGACTCCAACTTTCAACTATTTATACTAAATAGCTAGCTACTTTTACTATATTATGATTCACTTATGAAGTATTTCCTTTTCGTTTTCTTGTAAAAGAATTGAAGATCAATATTCTTTTGTTCAAATAACATATAAGGATGGGCGATCTGCTCCGCCCTATATTCGTCCGAGTATTACTCGACCTAAATCGCGCCTAGTGCGAGGCAATAATAGATATTGAGGTACCCAACCCTCGTCATCCAACCTCTTTGTCTTCACTAGAAATAACCATAATACAATTAAACTTTGAGAATTTTAAGAAGGGCACCACTAAAGCGAATTTAGGCATCGAGTATCATGTAAATAAGTTAGATGTGCATCTTTACATTTTTTTGGTCTAATTTACTAATGGATGGGGTCAAATTATCCAATGGCTCTATCCATTGTCATGTCTACTCTCATTCTCTCTCTATGAAAGCTTTAATATAATGATAACAAAAGTTGAATTTAAACATCACTAATTGAGCAAATGATAAAGGAACTCCACTCATTTATTATTTGCTTGGTTTTATGGTGTGGAAATTAAATATGCATATTGAAATTTAAGTTTTAGTGTAAAAAAAAATCATTTAGATGATAGTTGGCTCCAATTGTAAGGAAGTGACTATCTATTATACATGAATTTCTCACAACAACTCAAATTATTGGTACAAGTTGATTCATAATATCAATATTTGAACTTGAGCTCTACCCGATCCGACACGTTCCAAACTAGACCAAACATGCTTGGTCTGAAATTTGTAATATTTGCCTGGTCCTTATTTTATGTTCCCGTCCCCTCAGTTTCAACCATAAACTAGGGGTGGGAAACGGTGCGGTTGCGGTTAACTGCACCGCAATTTGCGGTTAACTGCAACCGCAAAGTGCCCATATTAGCCAACCGCAACCGCACTTGCTACGGTTAGCGGTTAACTGCTAACCGCAAATTGCGGTTAATGGTGCACCGCGGTTAATGGCATCACTAACCGAGTTAACCGCTGGAATGGTCGCGCCGTCGATGTCGACGAGTAGAGCAGATGTGGAGAGGACGGCGGCGTGCTCTACGCCTCTGATCGAGCAGGGACGGCGACGAAGGCGGGTTTTGGACAAGAAGGGACGGTGGCGGAGGAATTTCCGGACAACGAGTGTGGGTTCTGCTCTGGAATGGTCGCGGCGTCGCAGTTGCACTAGCTGTGAATTCCAGGTCACGTCGTCGCGGTTGCATGGAACTAGGGTTTCCTTTCTTTTCGATTTGGGAAAGTGGCTGAAGAAAGAATTCGCACGCTGAGGGCTGGGGAAACGAGAACTGTGGTGGAAGGGGGTGGGTCGACAGTGGGCTAGTGGGCCTAGGGTGGGGTTTGTTGGATGGACTGGTTTGGAAAATGAAGTGGTGGGCTGGCCTGCGGTTAGTAGTGCGGTTAGGTGCATCTGCGGTTTCGGTTGCGGTTAAACCGCAAACCGCAAAAGACTCATTCTTCCCAACCGTGACCGCAGAAAAGGTTGTTTTTGTGGTTTGCGGTTAACCATTAACCGCGCGATTTCGGTGCGGTTTGCGGTTTAACCGCATAACCGTAACCGAATTCCCAGCCCTACCATAAACCACATACATTGTTCTGGTTCTGGTTATGATTTTCATTGTCTTTTACTTTTACATACGGTTTGGTACCAAATGAATCGAGAGTTCATTTCATTTTAAAATAAATTACTTTGTAGAATTAATATTGAAGTGAATTCTTGTGTTTGGTATGTCTTATTCGATTCTTTAAAAATATATTGAATTATCAAACCATGTTTGACATACATTTAGAATTGAATTAAACTAAAAGTTTACAAACATTAATTAGAGCATACATTCGATTCTTATAAATTTTCCGCATAAATAATATTCATTGAAAATTGTTGGGGGTATCACCAAAGGTGGGCCCAAAAGAGAGCTGTTGGGGGTATCACCAAAGGTGGGCCAAAAGAGAGCCTATCCAGCTAAAGGCAGCCCAGGGCAATGAGCCAGGAGAAGAAGCCCACAAGGCCCATTGGGCAGCATAGGCATGGAGAACAAGGCACTAGGGGCCAAAGAGGTCCAAGCTGGCACGTGGTCCCCCGCCCGTAGGCGCCTGCCAGCAGTCAGAAGCCTGACAAAGTGGTTGGGGCTTCTGACGGGAATGAAGGTACCAAGCATTTAATGGGATGGTGACGTGGAGGAGATCAATCTCGAACTTGGTGAGTATAAATAGAGGCAGTTGGTAGCATTTACACAGGTTGGACTCTCTCACTAAAACTTAAGCCGTAAAGGCACTTCTCTCACTAAGATACTGACTTGATCATCAGAGGGCTTACAGGCCGAGGCGCCCCCCTCTGTGTTGGTGTGTGTAGGCAGGCGCCGGACAGGGAAAGACGCGGGCACGTTATTCGGGCGATGAGGCACAAACAATTGGCGCGCCAGATAGGGGAGTATAAGCGAGAATCATGAGTGTAGAGGCGCCTATGAGTGGAGGGGGAGAAGAAATTACGGAAGATCAGTCCGAGCGGATGAGAGGGCTGACACCCGAGACGGACGAAGGTGAGGAGAACGACGGTATGTTGCAGGGGTCGGAAGGCGCCTCGGTCACCAAAAAAGAGTTGTTTAGGATCATCGAGGATCAGGATGAGGCGATCGAGGCGCTTCGACGGGAGGTTGAGGCCTTGAAGAGGGGAGAAGGGATGACGCCCAGCCCAACCTCGAAGAAAAGGGAAAGGATGGCAGAGGAGGAAAGCGAGTCCGGGCATTTGAGGCGTCCAAGTCAATGGCGCCTAGGTACCAGGGGATGGGACGGAGGAATCCTGGGGCGCCTATCACGTCACTGCTCCGTGAGACAGCCCTTAGCGCAGAACATACTGATGGAGCCTGCAGGAACCAACATCCCCCACTCCCAACTTATGACGAGACAACGGATCCGGATGATCACTTGAATGGATACTTCACCAAGATGCAGCTTTACAACAGCTCAGACACTACCATGTGCAAAGTGTTCCCGTCAACCTTCGCGGGCGTTGTCCTTGACTGGTACCACCAAATCGAAGAGGGGCGCATTGACTGCTTTGAGCAGTTTGTGGCGATGTTTTTGGCAAAATTCGCCAGCAGGAAGCGCCGCTCCCTAACCATAGGCGCCCTATTCAAGGTCAAACAGAGAGAGGGGGAAGCGCTGAGAGAGTTTTACGAAAGATGGCTCTCGGTGGCCTTGGTGGTAAAGGACGCCCAGCCGTCATTATTGGGAGTGTGCTTGAACGAATGTACCACCAGCCAGGAGTTGTGCAGGACGCTGGCAAAGAGGGACGTGGCATCCACGGAAGACTTGGATCACCGAGTGCAGAAGGTGATCATGCTCGAAGAAACTTTGGCGGCCAGAAGGGCAGATAGGCGGAAGATGAGGGGAGAAGAAGGTGAGATGACAAGGAGACCGCATCCCCCAAGTGGACCCGGATATGCGCCCGTAAACCACTCCCAGCCGAGAAGAATAGACGTCGAGCGCCCGGCGTCCAGGGAGCGGGGGCCTTCGCGGAATACACTGACACGCTGAAGAACATACTCCAGCACGTCAAGGAGAAAGGATATCACATCCGGTGGTCGGGCCCCATGAGAGGACAACCTAATGAGCGAAACTTGGACCGATATTGCGATTTCCACCGGGAGGTGGGGCATCACACGGCCGACTGCTACCAATTGAAGACCGGGCTGCAGGGCCTGGCGGATAGGGGAATGCTCAACGATTTCATCAAGAAGCCTGAAGAGAGGGCGCATCGTACATGTGTAGCAGGCACAGAGCAAGTGGCGAGGGGGCTGCCACCCCCGCTCTACGCCCTCGACCAAGAAAAGGCACCTGAGCGAGTACAGCTTACCATCGA